ATGTGTTCACTTACAATCCATGCCAACATGTTGTTCACTTACCAATCCATGCCAACATGTTGTTCACTTACCAATCCATGCCAACATGTTGTTCACTCACCAACCAATGCCAACATGTTGTTCACTTACCAATCCATGCCAACATGTTGTTCACTTACCAACCCATGCCAACATGTTGTTCACTTACCAACCCATGCCAACATGTTGTTCACTTACCAACCAATGCCAACATGTTGTTCACTTACCAATCCATGCCAACATGTTGTTCACTTACCAATCCATGCCAACATGTTGTTCACTTACCAATCCATGCCAACATGTTGTTCACTTACCAATCCATGCCAACATGTTGTTCACTTACCAACCAATGCCAACATGTTGTTCACTTACCAACCAATGCCAACATGTTGTTCACTTACCAACCAATGCCAACATGTTGTTCACTTACCAATCCATGCCAACATGTTGTTCACTTACCAACCCATGCCAACATGTTCACTTACCAACCCATGCCAACATGTTGCTCACTCACCAACCCATGCCAACATGTTGCTCACTCACCAACCCATGCCAACATGTTCACTTACCAACCCATGCCAACATGTTGTTCACCACTGTCAATGTATTGTATCCCATGTTGATGTTTGTCAATATTGTTGCAAATTTATTGTTTGCTTTATCCAAGTATAATATAAAATGTACAATCTTGTTTTTATAGACAATCAATTTTACATATGTTCATTCTGTTTCTATATATTACTATTACTTTCTGTTTGTCTTCACAACTCGTTCACTATACGTTATATAATTGCAACGGTTTGCATTTTTACCACTTCCACCTTGCCAGTATTCTACCTCAAATGTTACCAAGTTCTTGCTGTTTAACAAAAATCACCATTGGCTCATTTTATGCTCCATACCCTTTGCAAATTAATAATTTCATGGTACATATTTAATGGTGTTTTGATTAGACTGCATACAACATGTGATTATACACATGACTGTCACATGACTATCACAGTAATCCATCCAGTTTTAACTGGATGCTTATTGTTAACTCATTTGAGAATTTTAAAAAGGTATTTTTTTTTTGAGAATGTAAGAATCATTTCTGTACATAACTTCACTGGACAAATGTGTTGAAACATGCCATGAATATCAATCACGACAAAGCACATTGAAATACCTCAACTTGAAATCACTGTCTATTTTACTTTACTGAAATGCACATTAGAAAATAAGTATGGATGGCTGATCATTGGATGTTTGTTGAAATCTCTGCATAATTGGCGTCACATATACTCAAACGTAGTGTGATGTGTGGTATACTTTACATGCATATTGTACATATGCCATATGTACACAATGTGATATTTCATGTGTGTATATTGTATGTATGTATGTAATGTGATATGTTGTGCGTGTCAAGTGCCACCCTGTGATGTGTAAAACATTTCATGTCATATGCACACCATGTGACGTGTAAAACATTTCATGTCATGTGTGCACCATGTGATGTGTAATACATTTCATGTCATATGCACACCATGTGATGTGTAATACATTTCATATGTCATGTGTGCACCATGTGATGTGTAATATATTTCATATGTTATATGTGCACCATGTGATGTGTAAAACATTTCATGTCATATGCACACCATGTGATGTGTAATACATTTCATATGTCATGTGTGCACCATGTGTGCACCATGTGATGTGTAATACATTTCATATATATGTCATATGTGCACCATGTGATGTGTAATACATTTCATATGTCATGTGTGCACCATGTGATGTGTAATACTTTTCATGTCATGTGTGCACCATGTGATGTGTAATACATTTCATATGTCATATGTGCACCATGTGATGTGTAATACATTTCATATGTCATATGTGCACCATGTGATGTGTAATACATTTCATATGTCATGTGTGCACCATGTGATGTGTAATACATTTCATATGTCATGTGTGCACCATGTGATGTGTAATACATTTCATATGTCATATGCACACCATGTGATGTGTAATACATTTCATATGTCATATGTGCACCATGTGATGTGTAATACATTTCATGTCATATGCACACCATGTGATGTGTAATACATTTCATGTCATATGCACACCATGTGATGTGTAATACATGTCATATGTGCACCATGTGATGTGTAATACATTTCATGTCATATGCACACCATGTGATGTGTAATACATTTCATATGTCATGTGTGCACCATGTGATGTGTAATATATTTCATGTTATGTGTGCATCATGTGATGTGTAAAACATTTCATGTCATATGCACACCATGTGATGTGTAATATATTTCATATGTCATGTGTGCACCATGTGATGTGTAATACATTTCATATGTCATATGTGCACCATGTGATGTGTAATACATTTCATATGTCATGTATGCACCATGTGATGTGTAATACTTTTCATATGTCATGTGTGCACCATGTGATGTGTAATACATTTCATGCCATGTGTGCACCATGTGATGTGTAATACATTTCATGCCATGTGTGCACCATGTGATGTGTAATACATTTCATATGTCATGTGTGCACCATGTGATGTGTAATACATTTCATGCCATGTGTGCACCATGTGATGTGTAATACATTTCATATGTCATGTGTGCACCATGTGATGTGTAATACATTTCATATGTCATGTGTGCACCATGTGATGTGTAATACTTTTCATATGTCATGTGTGCACCGTGTGATGTGTAATACATTTCATGCCATGTGTAATGCATTTCATATGTCATATGCACATGTGATGTGTAATACAATTCATATGTCATGTGTGTACCATGTGATGTGTAATATATTTCATGTCATATGTGCACCATGTGATGTGTAATACATTTCAAATGTCATGTGTGTACCATGTGATGTGTAATACAATTCATATGTCATGTGTGTACCATGTGATGTGTAATATATTTCATGTCATGTGCACCATGTGATGTGTAATACATTTCATATGTCATGTGTGTACCATGTGATGTGTCATATATTTCATGTCATGTGTGCACCATGTGATGTGTAATACAATTCATGTCATGTGTAATGCATTTCATGTCATGTGTAATACATTTCATATATAATACTTTACATTCACTATATGTGCCATATGCACTTACATATTTTACATTCATATAATAGCATTTGTTATTTTGTACTAGTATAGGAAACTAGGAACAACTGAGTTATGGCTTTGATGAAGTCCCCCTATGTTCTTAAAAACATTTCAATGCTACTGCCACTATGAAACAAGTTTGTCATTCACCTTATTTTATATATGTATATATATGTTTGTTTGAATTGAATGACCTCCTGAATACATCACTAGTTAATTAATGCTATTTTTGGTGTAATTTGGGTATATACGACATGGTATTTGTCATGTGTACTTCATGTGACATGGTATTTGTCATGTGTACATCATGTGACATGGTATTTGTCATGTGTACATCATACGACATGATATTTGTCATGTGTACATCATGTGACATGGCATTTGTCATGTGTACATCATGCGACATGGTATTTGTCATGTGTACGTCATACGCCATGGTATTTGTCATGTGTACATCATGTGACATTGTATTTGTCATGTGTACATCATACGCCATGGTATTTGTCATGTGTACATCATGTGACATGGTATTTGTCATGTGTACATCATGTGACATGGTATTTGTCATGTGTACATCATGCGACATGGTATTTGTCATGTGTACATCATGCGACATGGTATTTGTCATGTGTACATCATGCGACATGGTATTTGTCATGTGTACATCATGCGACATGGTATTTGTCATGTGTACATCATGCGACATGGTATTTGTCATGTGTACATCATGCGACATGGTATTTGTCATGTGTACATCATGCGACATGGTATTTGTCATGTGTACATCATGCGACATGGTATTTGTCATGTGGTATTTGTCACATACTATCACATTATATACTCATGACAAATATATGATTGCTCATCCTTATTATTAAATTTTTTTTTCCATGCTTATTATTTGCTGAGAAACTGATAACTATCAACCAGTTCAGCTCTCTTTACTCTATTTCTCAAACGTTTTTTTTATCTTTAGTTTAGTCTAATCTATACTCTAATCCAGGGAATTTTGTACCAACCCTCTACCAGTCCCACATTGCACAGACTGCATAGTATCCAATAAGCCAACTTGATGAAATAATGCAATTCTAACTTCCAGAAAGACTCAAGAAACAATGGAAACATATTTAGCCACGATATATAAGCTACCTTGCCTATTCATTCACCCTATTCTATACTAAACAAATTTATGAATTTTTTTTTTTTTTAAAGATTTAAAGATATATCTATATAAGATGATGGGTATTAAGGCCCAAGTGGGGTTGTTTTATGTGAAATCCATGTTTCTTTTATTATGTTTCTTTAGTTATCCATTTCTTACAGTCCATCTTGGCTTGAAATTTGAGCACAGCTGCAAGAGCATTCCTTTCCTATTTATAAAATAACACACACTGTATATTGATTTTAAATTGTTCAGTTGCATATCTTGATTTTATTGTTGAGGGCGCTATACTGTTTATGTTAATTAGGTGACAGTTAACAGGACAAGGTATCTTAAAAACAAGTACATGTATTGTGAATATAGCAGAGGTGTTTTTTTTCTGGTGGTCAATAACCACGAATTACATTGAAAAAAAGTATCTATTTTAACTATTTTATGAAAAAAGCTTTTAAAAGTGCTTTAATTTCAAGTTGTCACACATTAAATTCCCAAACTTATTTGCTTGTAAATTGTTATCATTACCAAGATTATTATGTGTAATTACCCTGGTAATTTTGTATGTGTGAGCAATGCATATTTAAATGCTTATTTTCATAAATAAATTTAGCAGAACTTTTTTATTAAATAAATATTTCCATATTCATGAAATTGAGTGCGTTTTTTTGATATCATAACCATTATGGCGGTATTCACGGCAGATTATTTAGTATGTGGTGCCAAAGTTAGAAAAAATTATCAGTTTAACTACCGGTCAAGTTGATAATTTGTAATAACTGGGTTTATGACACAATCTTGCCAGAAACAGCCTGAAAATGACATTGCATTGGATTCTATGTTGTATGTTGATATTAGCTGC